TTGAATAATTTATCATTGTTCTCTCTCAGTTCTCTCTCCTTATTAATGAGGGCCTTTTTGAAAAAAAAATTATATCTTTTATATATTGATTGTTCTTAACAAATTTTAACTGTTTTTTTATCACGTAATTCGGTTATTCGTCTCTTATAATAAAGAACGGAGGTAGTATAAGACAAGACACGAGTGCAATTTGTTGCATGAGTTGTTGACCTCCTCCCTCTGTCAACATTGCACCCTAGGTCCAGTATATTCAAGTTGTTCTGGTTCTAATTGGAAGGCACAAATCATGTCTTGAGATGAGGCTGTACAATGGCGAAATTCAGTCGCGACTGACTGGCTCTCCCTCCACAACTTTCAATGGCTTCCGGGTGATTTAGTATGGTTGAGCCCATTTGCAATCATGAAAGGAACTTACTTGAGGGGTACAACAAAAGCGCGCGCAGTTAACAAACTCAGAGAAAGAGAGAGTTCATCACCCAAACAAATAATACATGAAAACTAGATTCCTGATAAGCATTTTAGTATTACCATATAAGTATCTATGCTCGCGATTTTGCTTTCTGGGCATAATTTTTCATAGAAAAAACAAGTCTATGCCCTTCAACCAGATTTGAAAGATTTCTATGCAGAAGAATACATGTGCTCAAAATTTCTCTCAAATGTAATGCCTAAACCTCCAATTATATCAGGAAGAATGAAACTGCAACGAACCAAATGATTGAGAAAGAACAACAAGCTTCCTGTTTCATGGCATCGGCCATAAATTCTTTTTCTGGCTATAGAAATGTGGGCAACTCCATCCAATTGTATAATCTACTCAAGTACCTGTACACCCGAAGGCAAACACCAGTAAGCTAGAGGATTGATCCAATAAATATGCTCACAAGTGAAATTCAATCAGAAGTACATTAAAAAAAAGGCGAAATTCAATTAGAGTTAGGCTTAAAGGCATTTGAACAAACATCTGTAAACTAGTTTTGATGATCAGGGCAACATAAAATAATCTGGAGAAGGTCGACTTCAATTTGCCTTAAGGCCACTTCTTCGAGTGAGGACTTGCTCGGCCCAGCTCGGTTCTCTCACTACCTGAAATCCGTGTCTTATAATGGATCTGGGCATTTCCCTTAAACCACTTTATATAGAACCATCAAAGATATTTTATTGTGAGGAACAAAAGACGACGGAGAAGGACTTTAGTAAGTAGCTTGGTTGCTCATCTGATCAAAGTTAAGAGTGAGTCTCACCCCCTAGGCAGCATCAATACGGCGTAAGTATTACTAGTATTCAATAAAAATTGACATTTGAATACTATTTACAACTTAACATCCCATAAGTAATTCCTTCAAAAAGTTCGTCGCCACATGTTAGGTTTTTATTAGAGCCTTGCAACAAACTGCCAAGGAACTCTAATCAAGTTTAAACGCTAATCATTTGGCTTCTAAAATTTCAATGCGGACACGAGGCAAGAATTACATACACACCACTATTGGTAACATAGAATTGCAAATGCATAAAGACATACGGAAGCCCCGGAGGTCTCAGCAGAGAAGAATGATTAGATTTAGAGTTAAATTTATTACCAAAAAAAATTTAGAGTTAAATTTCACTAAATTTATCTTAATTACGAACATGCAATACGAACAATGGCACTCAAAGTTATATATTATATGATTCATACAGTGATTTAGTTGGTTCAATGGCCACAAAAAGAGAAGAGGGAAGAAGCAATTACCTTGAGACAACTCGCAGCAAGCACGAGATTCGATAGAGATATGGGAAGTAAGACGAGCATCACCAATAGCACTGTGCAGAGGCAAGAGCGACTGCGTGCACCCCAACAGCCCCATAGTCCTTGAAAAACGAAAAGAGATAAATTAAATCAAAAATTCAGAGAGCAAGGTTTTCACTTCCTTCTTAGATATAAAAGGGAAAGCACCTTGGAACTGCAGTGAAGGGGCGGCGAGAGTCGAGAAGATAAGATCCAAGTGGAGATGTGCGGATGCGAGAGATAGACGGCGGCGACGAATGATTTGAGAAGGTTCTGGCGGCGGTGATCAGAGACCTTGAAAGAGATCCGCCACGTAGAGCCATTTCTACGCGCTGCTCACTCACCCTGCAACGCGCAACAGAGAGAGAAACGAACCAGGGGTTTTGGTCAAGAAACTAAACCCTTCTGGCAGGGCACAAAATTGGCCCATTGAACTGGATTATCTATTGCTGTATGGCCTACCCTGCATGAAGAAGATAACGAGGATTAAGTCCAATGTTTTGCTAAAAGTTTGATTCTTCGAGATAAGAACCACTATCAATGTTTTAAAACTAACGCTATCACTTTTCAGTTTTTTCATATACATGTGTTTAAAATGACGGGTATAAGGATTCAAGATAATTATCATAACTACTACCTCTAGTTCTTATTATAAGATCTGGTTGACTAATTTGGACAGATTAAGAAAATTAGTTAAATTAGTTACTTGTTATAAATAGGTGTTCTCTTTACTAAAACACCTTTGCTAATCATATATATTAACTAAAGTTACCATTATATGAAACATTTTATATGAGCAACTATTTCAAGGACTACTTTGGAAAAAATGAATAAATATGAAAGACAAAGTGGATTGGAATCTTATATCTAGGATCAAATTAAAAGTCAAACAAGCTCTTATAATAAGGAACGGAAGTAGTAATATTTTAAAGGGGAAGTATGATTATTTTCTTACCTTTTTTATTGAAATTTTTTCTTACTTTTGTTTTGTATTAAAATAATCTAATTTATCATGCATTATTAGCTACTCCTCCCTTCTTTAATATAGAACCTAATTGTTGAGTTAATTTTTGTCCTAAACATTAGACCTATTTCTCATATTTATCAATTTTCTCTAAATTATCTTTGTAGATATTCCCTCAACTATAATCAAGTAGAAGAGGGAGAGAGAATATTAAGGAAGATGATTATGATATTTTAAGAAAAACCATGTCATATTTTTTACAATTAACTAACTTACCTAACTTCTTTAATCTAATCAAATTAATTAAATAGATTTTATATTAAGGATCGGAAGAGTATTAGTTATGAATATACTCTTCCTGTTCTAAACGTAAAACTCATTTTGTAGTAATATGCATGTGGATGTTAATATATTTCTCATGTCTCAATTCTTATGATTTATTTTCCCTCTTACGTTCATGAAATTTATCATTTATGTTTGAACTATTTCACATTTAACAGGCCTTTTGAGTTGTAAAGTTATGCTCATAAGTTTAGTCTTTAGTATCTATAATTTCACCAAATTTTAAAGTTAGTCCCTACAATTTAGAAATTTTTTTTTTTGGAAACCGGTCTCTATGATTTATGCTTCGACTTAGAGCCGCTAATCCAAGTTTCAAACACTCAGCATCAGCGCCCAAACGCCAATTCCTACCTTTGAGTAGGACGAAAACTTATACAACGTGTAAATAGCCAACACTTTGGATCATTGAAGTTTTTCTACATTTTCCAAAGATAATGGCATGCTTCTCATAAAATTCTCCCTAGAAGGAAACCCCTTTTGTTGGACCGGAAATTGTATCACAAAAACCGTGTCCATAGCAGGTCTGGTAACCGAGCACCTGTAGCAATTGAAAGAATATATTCCTCTGGTTTTTAATATATGACCTAATTATTGAGTTGATTTTGATTCTAAAGATAAGACCCATTTTTCATTGATTTTGGTTATAAAGATAAGACACATTTTTCATATTTATTAATTTTTTCTAAATTACCCCTATAGATACTCGCTCAACCATAATCAAGTAGAAGAAGAAATGGGGTATTAAAAAAGATGATTATAGTATTTTAAGAAAAACGTGTCATATTTCTTATAATTAACTAACTTAACCTAACTTCCTTAATCTAATCAAATTAGTTAAATAGATCTTATATTAAGGATCGGAGGAGTATCTAAAGAAAAATAAAACCGAACCTTAACCTATCACCAAACCTAAATGTATTTTCAATTTTTCGATTCGGTTATTTTGGTGTTCAGTTTTTGTTTGGTTTTTATTTATTAAATTTCGGTATTTGGTTATTGATTTGGTTAATTAAAAAAAATTCGGTTTCAAGCCAAAAAACCGAAATTATAAGTATATATAATGTGTTTTGTCAACATATATAATATTATACATATACATATTTACATGTCTGCACATAGAACATGAAACTAAGTGATATTCTCATAGGCCCAAACATATATCTAAACCCAGCCTAATATATCTTAAACCCTAGAAGCTAAGGTAAGATTCCATATCATCTTTCATGATATGGCACCCACATCCCCTTCCTCATCAGTCATTGCCTCACATCGCAGTCCTCTCCTTCAATCTAATTAAATTCTTCACCACATCACTGTCTCTGCTCTTCTCTCCATCTCCTCACATTCCACATTTGGTTAAGCTTGCGGCCACGTCTCAAGATTCATCTCTCCGTAAATCCTTGAGATCTAGCCTTGAATATATATTTGATTTTGTTCCAGGATTTTAATATTGAAGCTGCACACGTACATGTAATTATTGAATTTTTATATGATAGTACTTTCGGCAGGTGTTTCCTTTGCTGGAGCAATTAAAAAACCCAATATTAGTTGAACTGCTATTGTTTCCAGTGATACTTTTAATTTAAACTCGTAATATAATGAATAACTAACAAAGTTTATTACAATATATAAAGCCCTGAAACCTAGTAAACCAAATTATTTCAGATAATTCAGTTCTGTTAGCAGCTAATGTTCAGTTTCAGTTTAGTGTTTAAAATATGCGCATTTCAGCTAATGAACCTACCCAAACTGAATAACCAATTACGCAGCCCTAAATATATCCCCAGCATCACAAGCAGTTGACCTGAATGCAGCTCAGCGTTCCACTCACACAAATAGGTACATCTTAAAGCAGTCAACGGATTTGTCAAAAGACAAGGAATCAAGGATTATCATCCATGACACTCTCGACAAAGGAAATGCACATTGATCAAGATGTGACTACTCATGCTAAAGTTATTTCACTATGATTTAGAGCAATGTTTACAGGAATATCCGAGTTATGATTACAATTACGATAAAATGAAAACCTACCCACATAAAAATACACTTGCACCAATCTAGCCTACAGGGAGGAGAACGAATTTAATTTCACAGGCAATATCTAACTCTGGGGTTATGGATAACATTGGGCTTCCTCACGGCTACATTCTGAAATCCAAAACACAAACTGTGTTATTAGCAAAACATGCCGCGATTTTGTCACCCTCCTTATTCCAGCAGACCTCAAAAATGCCTCCTTCGCCCGTGTATGTTTTCACAATCTTCCCTTCTTTCAATGACCAAATGTGCATGGATTTGTCAAGAGATCCACTGGCTAAATACTCACCATTGGGGCTGAATGCTACAGAATACACAGGATCCCTGTAACCAAATATAGCATGTAAGAATCATAGTAAATTCCATACAGTGGAACAGGAAGATAAGGGCAAGGAGAGTGAAAGAGAGAGGACTGCTCTTCACATATTATAAAACAATACCTGTGTCCATTCAAGCTACAGATAAGTTTCCCGACTTCAACATCCCACAGCTTTACAGTCGAGTCAAATGATGCACTGCAAGGTAACCACAAAATACTTAACATCAAGCACATACTTCTGATAACCCCCCCCAAAAAAAAAAAAGAATATGGAGTAAGTGATGCTCCTAGGGAAACTGTAGGATGAAAACATTGCATCAAGAGAATCTAAAGAGCAGCAGCTATATTAGAAAACCCACTGTACTAAAAATAGTATATAAGGATAAAAATGGATTTTGATTCTGAAACATTAAAATGCTGTGGAAACCAATTTAAAAGTTCAGCGTCAGAACAGTGTAAGGAAAATTATAATTAGTTGGAATCAAACCCAACATAGAGGACATCATTTTGCAGCACTGTGCCCACACAGTACTAAAAAGTTCACATAGAATTGAAGCGGTCATTTATCAACCAAGACTCTTGGAGTCTGAAATACCACGTTTTAAATAAATTATATTTAGAAGAACTGCACATAATAAATAACAACAAAGCAGCAGACTTACCTAGCCAACACCAATTTTTGGTTAGGGTTACTTGTACCAGGACCAGTTGGGCTCCATCTGATTGTATATATCTCCTGCCAAAAAAAAAAGAAACATAGACGTTATTCCATAAAAACCCACAATGTCGGAGGAAAAGAAATATCATTAGAAAATTAAAAAAAAAAAAAAAATCGAAAGCTCACAATACCTTGGAATGCTCCTTTAAATCATAGAGATATGTGTCCTGCTTCAAACTCCATATCTACATGACAATCTTGGATTATTATCACGTATCAACAAATGAAGAAACTAACACAATAAATTTCAAATATTCATGCAAAATGGCAGACTTTGCGTTTCAAAAATAACATTACAAAAAATGAACAGTTAGTTAAAAATGCCAGCTTATAGAACCCAAAACAAAAACTCGGGACATGATAAACAGATCATTCCCTCAAATAAGTGGCCAAAAATTACCTTTGCAGTAATATCATCAGAACAGGAGGCCAGCAATGAACCAGTGGGATCCCATTTTACACAATTAACTTCACCCTGTTATTGCGGAAAATCCATTATCAGGAAGATCTTATCCAAACTCTATATTGCACCTAAACGATTAAATTGACATATTGTGTTGTGAAAAATCAACAGCACATTTATATCAAATCAATCTCAGTCAACCATGATGAGAAACTGCAAAAATGCAAGGCTATCATGGGACTGTAACCAATAAGCATAAAATAAAAAGGAACGCCAGCACAACCCATCTTGAAAGCAGCAGCCCACCAGTCTATTGAGTTTGTCAACCATGCCAACCATTTTAACTTTAAATCAAAAACAAATTCAAGTTTAAGATCAACCCACCCCCCAATTCCAAGAAGTAACAGTTACAGTCTTAAAAGAATTATTCTATATTATAATACAATAAATGAGATCATCAGTACAAACCTGGTGGCCAGCAAAAGTTTTTATAGGCCGGTTTTCACCAATCTTGCAGACATATATCATATTGTCAGTGGAGCTTGTTGCAAATGATACATTGTTACGCCAGTCAACATCAAGAGTTGGACCTAAACAACATATCAAAAAGAAAATAAACAACCTATTCATAAATATAGTTGCCTTAAAATACCATCAAAATCTCCACCTGAATGAAATTCAAATTGCTGTTTCCATTCCTCTGCCTTAACATCCCACACAATTGCAGTTTTATCACAGCTTCCAGTAAGAAGATAATCGCCTTTCTTGTTCCACTTCAGAGAGAATATGGGTCCCTTGTGTTTGCTTAATGTACTCCTCAGTTCACCTGGTCCAAGACACCTTCATTTTATCAAAACAGATCTATAATCATTTTATCAAAACAGATATATATTTCTAGAGTCCTAAGAACAAGTTAAAAATATTCACCTACAGAAAATTACCTGTGTAAAGAGATCAATATAGAAATTTGATGTATAACCTATAGGATGAATGCAACTAGATAAATCAGACAGAAAATATCGCCATTTACATCACAAATGCAGGCTAAGGATTTCTTACATGTCCCCAAAAAAAGAAAAAGAGGTATAATAGTCTTTATTGCCTAAAAATCAGTACATAATTAAATGCTGAAAACTATTAGTAACAGTTATCTTGTACCTTCTGCTTGGATGGAGAGAAAATTAGGGAGGAAAATTACGGAGGAGAGAAAACCAAAGAGAAGTATAGGAGGAGAAATAAGTTTTCCCCTACCTGGATAGGAGAGAAAATACGGGTGGAAGGAAAAGTGGGAGCGAAAATAAGACAGCCTTGTTTTCTCTCCAAATTTTCTCTTCATATACAGAGAGATTTGGACTTGGTTGAACAAGACTTTTTGGTCAACAACATATCTAAGGACTTGGTTGTTGATAGAGCACAATGACGTCGTGCAATTCATATAACCGACCCCACCTAGTATGATAAGGTTTTTTGTTGTTGTTGTAGATGAAAAGATTTGGAGAGGAAAACCAGATTTCCATGGCTACCCATCCTCTCCGCCTATTTGAGTTATTTCTCTCTATATTTATTTATTTTTATATATTTAAAAAGTTATTCACTTCTTATTTTTTCATCTTAAAACAATTTTTTTAAAAATAATAATTTGGTTTTAAAGTATAATAATCTGAAAATTTATATAAACCAAATAACTTGATTTTAAATTATTTGATGATGTTAATGTTAGTAAAATTTTCCTATTGCAATATTTAATTTGAGTTCATTTTAAATATGATATATTTTGATAAGGATGTTCTAGTCATTTAGATATTTGCTCATTTTCTATCCTCCCTATTTTTTCTCATCTATCCAAGCAAGAGGGATGATAACATTTTCTCTCCAATTTTCCCTCCTCATTATTTTCTCTCCTCTCATTTTCTTTCCTCCAACTTTTCTTCCCATCGCTTTCCTCAGGGGAGAAATGCTTCTCTATTTTTCATCCCTTCTCGAAGGAATAAGACAACCCCTCCTGTACATAGTATTCCTTGATTCACACTCAACCAAACACAGCTTCATCACTACCAGACAATTAACTAACAATGAACTCAACACCTGAAGAACATAAGACAACAGCATTTGTACACATGACAACAACTCCAGTTTCCATGCAATTATTCCATTTATCAACCATTGCATGTGAAAGATAAAAATAAATAGTAACAAATGTATCGTGGCATACATATAGAACATTGAAAACCCTAACAATGCAAAATTACATGCACACCTAAATACTTATACCATAACTAGCAACAATAAAATTATAGAGGGGGCAGAGAAAATGAAACTCAAGTTACAAGAATTCTTATCCATGATTTTACAATGCTTTGTTTTTGGTACAATAATATGACAAATGTTCACAACTAGAACAAGGAGGAAGAGGTTGGATCAGAAGGCTGAAGACAGGAACCTAAACCCATAGTAAAAATCTCTCAAGCACCTGCTGAAACTTCCAGTAACACATTTAGAAACATGCTCAGAGCGAAACTCCCCAGAGGGTGATTAAGGAAAAAAGAAACTATAGCAATTGAAAATATTTGTACATTATAGCTTACAGGACCCTATATAGCTATTTCACCTGACATGCACAAGTATATCTCGTTCAGAAACTCTAACCCATCCATTTCTTCATTTCCCAACAGTGAGTCCCATTTGGAATTGGCTCTTCGGTTTTTTTGGAGGGCCTGGATCTGTCCTACCTACTATCTTGGATCCATTCTTCCAACCTGCTTTTTTTAAAATCTAAGCCTTGTTTTAAAGGGTCTAGCAATAAGAGTTAGTCTATAATGTGGCATTGCAAAGTTTGTCTGATTGGAGGAGAACGCTCACATCTTCAAAATTGTTTCTTAGCCTTTAAACTTGTTGCAGGATAACATTGTATTCATAGTTATTAATCTTCCAACGAAATATTTTTTTACTAGCACCGAAATAAGTTAACAGCAGACAAAATACACACAGCAAGTTATAAAATCAAAGCAAATTGAGCACTTTCCATCCCATCCAATATAACTCTTCAAAAGTCTAGTTATTAATTACTCAATAACTGTAGAAACGATACCGTACCATTGGTGGTCCAAATTCTTGCTTGCCCATCATATGAACCAGTTGCAAGCATTGTCCCCTCACCCTGTAAAACGTTCCGCTAGGGTCAACCTCCACATAAAATGTAAAAAATTACAAACAAAAAAAATTGAGTTGACCTATATTTTGAAAAATAACACCAAAGGTCCAAAGATAAATACAATTCAATGAAAGGTGTAGAAAATGAAGGAGAAAAAATCGTGTGAAAAAATATATGTCAGAAAGCCCATGATACTCGCCTATCATTATGCATGAGAATAAAATTCCTAATTGTGTGCTGTCATATCTCTAATTGATTGTAATTTATTTTTGATTGATTCTAACCGGATTATTCTCATCTCACCGTCCGGACCCTATATATTGTAACTATCTCATATGGAATAAACATTGAGTGAAACATTCACAGTTTATAGACATGGTATCAGAGCTGTGGGTTCGGATCCGTCCTGGGTAGGGATGGAAATAGGCCAGGCGGCCTGTCAGGGGCCTATGGCCTGGCCTATTTAAACACAAGAGCAGGCTCAGGCCTGTTTATGTTATCAAACCAGGCTCAGGCTTCCTAATAAGCCTATTAAGCCTGTCAGGCGGCCTGGGCCTGTTATTTTTGAAGGTTAAAATTGTAAATTTGATCTAACTCATCAAAGTAATGGAAGGATTTTAACCTAGGTGCCACACTGCCGCTGCTTTCCCTCTTCCTCTTGGCTTCTTCCATTCTTCACTTTGCACGCTGCTCACACACTTCACCAAATCGCATCCTAGACGGCACACATACTTCATGAAATCGCATCGCAGGTGCAACCTTCTTGTTCGCTTCTTCCATTATTCCATTCTTTGATTCTTCGCTTGTGTTCTGTTTATTGCTTCTTCCATTTCATTCTTCGTTGTCTATCGTCTGTGACCATGCTCTGCCTCTTTGATTCTTCCATTCTTCACGCCATCACTAACGCTGCGAGCCTACGACACTCCGTCTCCGACCTCCATTGTCAGGTATGTGACTCCTGTTCATATATATGGTCATGCTTTGCCAATCGCTTTAAGTTCGACCCAAGAGTGTGAAAAAGATAGATGATACATTGATACTTCATCTGATATATTTGTTTTAGTTTCTTTCCCTTTAAGTCTTATTGACTTCTTATCTATTTTTGGGTATATATGGAGGCTGTGCTATTAATTCATTTAGTTTTGGCACGCCCTTGTGTTCCCCGTTGGACCACAGCATTCACATCAATTGAGTTGATTTCTTTTCCGTTTCTGCCTATTTGGACCTATACGAGTGCAGTCACGTCGTCAAACTAATCTATTTGAGTCTAATGTGAAATTGAGCTGGACATTTGTTCATATCTCACACTTTGATGTGATACGGCTGGAACTGTGCGCCTGCATTTTTAGGAAATACATTATATCGTTCGTATTGCAGCAGGAATTCGTAGAAAGTGAAGTATGGGTCTTGTTTATTTGCTTAATATGTGTGTGGTTTGTAACTGAATAACCAAGCTAAATGTGAAGGATTCTTAGTCATTTCAGAAAAGCGTGTGGTTTATTTGCTTAATACCATTTTTTTTCTACATGTTTTCATAATATGCATTATCTAAATTGTTCAAGTTGTGTTCTTCCTTTATTTTAGATATTCATTTCTCAAGCAGTCTTGTCTGAAATAAAAAATAACAAAGTTACTTTTGATGAGTTTGTTGGTCTTGATCTCTCTAGCATATATTTGGTTTGATGATTTGATTATTTCATATTTTATTTTTGTATTTTAGATAATGTGGATCGAGTTATTGTAATTTTACATTGATTTATGTATGTTTGAAATTTGTTAAAATACAGGCCTCTTAACAGGCTTCAGGCCAAGCCAGGCTTGATTACAGGCCAAGCTTAAGCCGAATAAAAAGCCTTTCACAGGCTACAGGCCAACAAGCTTCGTCACAGGCCTGGCCTGTTAAGAGCGAAGGCTGGCCTGGCCTGGCCTGTTTCCACCCCTAGTCCTGGGCCCCTGTCGTGAACAGAGAGAGTGAGGAGAGAGAGTGAGGCGTCGGCACCCTCAGATCTAAAGGCCAGAGCAGGACGTGACCGACACTACCCCTCCAATCCTTACCGGAATCCTCTGATCGGTGCATCCCCAGAAGCCGGTGTCCAACGGAGCAGCACGTGAAGCCCATGCGCCGTCACAAGCCTCTGCGCGTGAAGCCCACACGCCGTCACAAACCTCCGCGCTTGAAGCCTACACGCTGTCGCCAGAACCATCCCAGTACCCTACTTCGTCTAGAAGATGAATCCATCAAACTTTCCACCACTTTTTGGGTCTGTTCGCAATATGCCTGCCAAAAAGGCACCATTCCAATGGCCTTTATGTCCGGCACATCCTCAAATACTCAAGGTACGCCTTCTTCACCAATAGCCCCTTCTAAAACCTCTGATTCGGTGTCGGATTTGATAATAGCTACTGAATAACAAGCTATGATGGTGGCCCAAAAACTGAATGGCAGCAACTATCTCCAATGGTCCCAAAGTGTATGATGCATCTATGGGAAGCGTAAGGAGAATATATGAATGGAGAAGCAAAACAACCAGCACACAATGATCCTAATTTTGACACCTGGTTCGCTGAAAATAATCAGGTGAATGCAACTCAATAACTCTCGAAATCAGTGAGGGATACCTTCTTGCAAGCACAGCCAAGGAGATCTGGGATGCTGCTAAGCGCAATTACTCTACATTAGACAACACTGCTGCTTTGTTGGACCTAAGGAGGCAACTCAAAGAACTGAAGCAAGGAAACTTGACTGTAACATAGTACTACAGTACTCTGACAAAGATATGGCAGCAATTGGATCTCTTTGAAGTACATTCTTGGAAGAATATTGATGACGCTAATTACTACAGACAGCTAGTTGAAAAAGGACGAATATATGATTTTCTGTTGGGCCTAAATGATGTTTTTGAAGAAGAGGCAGAATTATGGGTCTAAAGCCTCTTCCATTCCTATTTGAAGTCTTCAGTATGGTTAAGTTCGAAGAAAGTTGGAGACACCTCACCTAGGGTAACAAAACTCCAGTTGATGGCTCAGCTTTGGTCACAAGGAGTTCTCAGACATCATAGAGCTCTGAAAGAAAAGGGAACAAGTGGTGCAATCATTGTAACAAGAAAGGCCACACCAGAGATGAATGTTGAAAACTACATGGAAAGCCAACCCATAGGAAACAGAAACAACGTCAAGATGGAAAGAGCCACCACACCTCCTCCGAGGAAAGAGGTGATGATGGAGACCGCTTAACCAGAAAAGAGCTTCAAATGCTCCGTAAGATGCTTGAAAAGCAAAACACATCAAAAAAGGTTCCCAATGTGAACTTGATTCAGTCAGGTAATTCTATTATTGCCCTTAATGCAATGGTCACTAGTGATGAGACATGGATTGTTGACTCTGGTGCTACAAACCACATGACTGGTAATAAGACCCTCTTCAAAACTCTCAAATATTGCCATGAGAACCTCAGAGTAAAAGTGGCAACTGGACTATGTACTAAAGTTGAGGGTGTCGGCACTATGGCCCTCTCTGATGATCTGGAAATTCATAATGTTTTGTTTGTTCCTGCTCTCACTTGCAATCTTATATCTATAAGCAAACTGACTAAAGGACAAGTATGTTGGGTGTTCTTTAATGATGTTAACTGTGTTTTTCAAGATTCGATTTCGGGGAGGAAGATTTTAACTGCTAAGGAATGGGATGGACTTTACTACTTTGAAGGAAAGGATATGAAGACAAAAGGAGCAAGGAAAGCTATGGTTAGCTCCAATTCTCAAAATAAAAATATAATGTTGTGGCATCAAAGATTAGGCCACCCCGGCTTTGATTATATGAAGCAGGTGTTTCCAACATTATTCAATAAAAATTCTTCTCCTTTCCAATGCGAAACTTGTCAAATTGCCAAACAAACTCACACCTCTTATCCCAAACATATTTACAAACCCACTACCCCTTTTACAATGATCCACGCCGACATTTGGGGACCTGCCAAAACCAAAATCCGAACGGGCACAAGGTGGTTTATCACATTCATCAATGATCATACCCGGGTTACATGGGTTTATCTTATGAAAGAGAAATCCGAAACCTTACAAATTTTCAAAAACTTTCACTCTTTTGTGAAAACCCAATTTCAAACTCCCATCAAAGTACTGAGAAGTAACAATACCAAAGAGTATGTGAGTGGAGCCTTTAGGGAATTTCTTGAGCAACAGGGAATCCATCACCAAACCTTGTGTGTCTATACCCCACAACAAAATGGAGTTGCCGAGCAGAAAAATAGGCACCTTTTGGAAGTAACCCGAGCCATTATGACGGAAAGAAATGTTCCAAGCCTGTTTTAGGGAGATGCTGTGCTAACGACAGCCTATCTTATTAACCGAATGGCCTCCAAAATTCTCAATTTCTAAACTCCTATTCAAAAACTCCTTGAGACCTACCCCACCTCACCTATCATCAATACCATCCCACAAAAAGTCCTTGGATGTGTTGTCTTTGTCCATAAACATGATGGGGGAAAACTAGATGCTAGAGCAGAAAAATATCTTTTTCTCAGGTATTCCTCAACCCACAAAGGCTATAAGTGTTACTGTCCCTCTACTAGAAAACTCATAATCTCCAAAGACAGTTTTTTATGAGGATGATGCATACTATCCCAAATTACCCATTCAGGGGGAGAATTATGGAGTAGAATGACTAATTACACCTGAACCTGAGACCAACGCACCTCCTAACCGCCCTCCTAAACCCTATATACCACATGAAGAAATCCCTAAACCTGAACCGGAAACCCCCAAACCTACACCTCAACCAGAACCCAAAACCCCCCACAAACGATCCTCACACAATGGAAACAAATGCTGAAATTGATGTAGGGGTAACAGAGCACTCAAGATCTCAATCAGGTGAACAAAACAGTATTAGCGGGGTTCCTTCCATTCCAAGGCAGCAACATGATTCCAATCCGGAGTTGGATCCTGAAGAACTAGGATGGCCTATTGCACTTGGAAAAGGGGTAAGGTCGTGTAATCAGCATCCTATACAAAGATTTGTCTCTTATGACAATCTATCTGCTAGAATACAAACCTTTCTGGTGAATAGCTCACAGGTGAAAATTCCAGAAACATTTCAACAGGCCATGAAAGATCTGAATTAGAAGCATGCAGCATACAAAGAGTTGAAAGCCTTGGAGGAGAATAACACGTGGGATATTACCACACTCCCTAACGGCAAGAAAACAGTGGGTTGCAGGTGGATCTTCACACCGAAATTCAACCCTAACGGAAGCATCAACAAGTACAAAGGGAGATTAGTTGCAAAAGGGTACACTCAAACTTATAAGATTGATTATCAAGAAACGTTTGCACCCGTGGCAAAGTTCAATACCATCCAAGTACTTCTATCCTTAGCTGCTAATCTTGACTGGTCCCTACATCAACTGGATGTAAAGAATGCTTTCCTAAATGGAGATTTAGAAGAGGAAGTATACATGCAAGTTCCAGATGGAGTAATAGCTCTACCTAATTTGGTTTGCAAACTGAAGAAGTCATTATATGGCCTGAAACAGTCTTCACGAGCATGGTTTGATAGGTTTGCCAAAACAATCAACAGGTTTGGTTACAACCAAGGACAAGCTGATCACACTCTTTTTGTCAAACACAATGATGGAAAGGTAACGATCCTAATTGTGTATGTGGATGATATAGTCATAACTGGTGATGATGAAGCTTCTATCTCTCAACTCAAGAAAGCCCTGGCTAGGGAATTCCAAGTGAAGGACCTAGGACAAATGAGGTACTTTCTCGGAATGGAGGTTGCTAGATCCAAAAAGGGTATAAGTGTGTCCCAACGGAAATACACACTTGATTTACTCCATGAAACAGGAATACTTGGGGCTAAACCGAATGAAACACCTATAGAAGAGTCATGCAATCTGGAGATTAAACCAAAAAGGGTACCAGTTGACTCAGAAAGGTACAGAAAACTTGAGTAAACTGATCTACTTGACCCATACACGACCTGACATTAGCTATGCAGTTGGGGTGGTAAGCCAATTTATGCACCAACCTCAGGAAGAACATATGGAGGCTGTGTATAGAATCTTGACCTACCTTAAACTCAATCCTGGAAGAGGAATATTCTTTAAAAAGGGGAATACAAGAAACATAGAGGTCTATACTGATGCAGATCATGGGAGAGCTATAGCTAACAGGAGATCTATCACAGGTTACTGCACCTATGTTTGGGGAAACCACGAAGCAAGAAACAGACCGTAGTCTCAAGGAGCAGTGCTAAAGCTAAGCTAAGAGCTATAGCTCTAGGGGTGTGTGAAGGAATGTGGGTGATTAGACTCCTGAAGGAATTGAGAATTCCCTATGAAGGTCCAGTGAACCTCTGGTGTGACAACCAAGCCAGTATTGAAATGACAAATAATCCAGTGTATCATGACCGAACAAAGCATGTCGACATTGATCGGCACTTTATCAAAGAAAAGGTAGAAGGTGGTATCATCAACTTGAGCTATGTGCGCTCGATTGATCAGATTGTTGACATTATGACCAAACCTTTAGCCAGAAAGCCCATGATACTCGCCTATCATTATGCATGAGAAAAAAATTCCTGATTGTGTGCTATCACATCTCTAATTGATTGTAATTTATTTTTGATTGATTCTAGCCGGATTATTCTCACAGTCCGAACCCTATATATTGTAACTATCTCATATGGAATAAACATTGAGTGAAACATTCACAGTTTAGACAATATATGATCCAATGATCAAATGCATAAGTAAGATGACCTTATAGAGTAGGCACCCACACAATTCTATGTAAAAAAAAATTTTAAGAACAAGCATACTTATCAGAACAAGATATTTAATAGAACAAGTATCCATGGCATTGCAGATTCGATTTGATTTAAAAGATCAGATTTGAATCATAAACAATTTCAAAGCAGGGATAACTGTCATGCTCTTCATGGTCAAGGAGCAAGACTTTGCTCCCAGACGGTAGCAGTGGATTACAAATCAGAACTAATTCAGGCTACTAGCACCAAAGCAAATAACAGCTTTTGATCCCAAGTTCGAACATGCAGACAGTAGCAGTTATCTTGGATTTAAATCAGAATCAGCACTAAAACTCACATTCCAATCGAGTGTAGTTACGTCTTTACTCTTTTCATTAGTTCTGCCTCTAACATGCTTCAACACCAAGACATTCAAAGGGCCATTCTGCGAACCAGATTTACTTCTGCCTTCTGCTATTGTCCAAATGCGAGCTGTTGAGTCCCCAGACCTAAACGTTGGAAGGATGACAATAAAGTAAATGAATTTTATTAAAAGCCAATTACTGGCCCCTTTTTCAATCTTTTTCACAAGGATTCGCTTTCCAAAGCAAAGAACTGTCACGGAAGATAAAAATCCTAGAGAATTCATTTCAGAGTTGAAGATAATTAACCTTAGCAAGGAAAAATACATAATTCTCCATCGGAACAGAAAAACAAGGAAAAATACAAAAGAAAAACCTTAGCAAGCAAATGCAATCCAACATTCCATGTGTTGAAATAGATAGCTATGAAGTGCATAATCAGAATTGAATATCATTAAGATAGTTATCAAATGCACCTACATTGATATGCATCTCGTGAACCTATTTCTTACAAATTCAGGACCTGTTTATGTTGTCACTTTATTTGTTCAATAAAACTAATTTTCTCGTGATTGTTAACAAATGGCTGGAAGAACACAAATGTAGAGCAGTCAGAAATTGTGATTCTCCATCCAATGAAAATTCCTGTTATTTCCATGCATAGCAATAAATCACATTATTCATGGTATTAATGATATTCATAAATGTTACATTTAGATCAGCTTGTTAATCACATCAATCACAAACATTCATTACCCGTCCAACTGCAAATGGTGGGGAGGAACATGCATAACACGTACATTTTACATTTATAAATAAGTATATTAAAACAGAATTTGAGACGGTTTTCATATCTCAGTCTTTTAAGGGGACAAATGGGTCAAAAAAAAATACCAGAAGAAGAAACATCACAAAAAGATAGAGCTTTAGAGGGATCCTCTGCAGAATAGCCTTAGCAGAGCAATTGCATTTCTCCATAGTTTCATTTCAATTCTTTCCAGAAATCCATTGCATTTGACTGGGCAGTGTGCAAAAATATAGCATTTGTGAAGGAGATACATACCCTGATGCAAGAAGAGACCCTGTAGGACTCCATGCACAAGCACAGACCTAAATAAATGGTAGAAAAGCTATCAATATGGAGTTTCACAGAAGAAGTTGAGAGAAGAAAATCCAAGAATTTTACAAAATAAACTTAACCTCCGACGTATGCCCCTCCAAAATAGTCACATCAGAACTCAGGATTTCACTTGGTTGAGATGTTGAAGTTGTAGAGATATCCATGGGTTCTGGTCCTGAGTAAACAAATAAGCTTTCTTCACACATATTCGAAGGAATGAATTCTATTGAAATATTAAATTCCATTGAAATATTAACTCATGCCATATTGCATGCTTGTGTGCCACAATGACACACTGTCTCACAGAGGGTTCCGGAAGGAGGTTCAATTGGTGCAACAAATCTTTGCAATTACAATTGGTGGTTTACCCATGAAAATCCCAAAGGGAGAAGAAAAAAGGAGGGGATAAAGTAAATGCAAATTTTTTTCTAGGATAAACAATTGGTACAGTGTATTTACTGAAAGAGGTCATTTCTAATTTTAACCGCACAAAGAAGAGGTTAGCAATACTTGGATCAGAAATGCGAAGGATGGCATCCAAATAACAGCTATTGCAGAACTATACTAATTTTTAAATCCATGTCTTTAGAATAGTATGATCAACACAGAATGGAGACGAATCAGGTATTTGATGAAGCACGAATTTCAGATTAGCTAGCCAACTACAACATCATGTATAACTTCTAAATTCATTTGTAATAAAAATCCATATGCCAACCACAAATTTGCATGAATAGACATTACAAAATCCAGGACCAAAGGAGAAAGAGAGATGAAGTAACGGTGGTAGAAAAATATAGACTTATTTGAGACTGACTAGGGACAAATTGTCTAATAGGAACTTGCAGCATTTCCACATCACATTAAACACATTTGATCTGCACCAGAGAGACTTCATTACACTGATGATTACCTCTGAAAGTGCCATTTTCTTCTTGCTTAACAGTAGGTTTATCTTCTTGATCTGTATCCATTCTGTCGGTCTTATGTTCATGATGTGATTCTCTTTCTCTGTCATTTTCAACCTTCTCTCGGTCCTTTTCGCATACTTTCTCCTTTTCATGTCTTTCCTTTTCTCTCACTCGTCCACGTTCAACTTCATTTTCCTTCTCAAGGCCCTTACTTTTTTCCTTCTGTAGTTTTTTCCTTCTTTCAATAATCATTTGCCTTAGTTCATGCACATCTTTTGTGATAAGATCCAAAGGTTGTAAGAATGAAAAATCTTCATCTATGTCTGTATCACACTGGCAGGCTTAAAACAAACACTGATCAACATGAAACCTCAGGTATGAAAGCTTCAAAAATGTCTACTCAAATAAATTGAACCTTATCCTAATAGGCAGAAAAAGAAATAAAAATCTGAAGCATTCTCTTTTACTGAAATTCGATGATAACAATTGAAGAGTGCTAACATTACTCAAGTTCGCTTCCATTTCCAAGTATTGTAGCCCTTTCTGAACAAATGTAATAAGAGCACCCGGGGGCACCAAATTTCCATCAATTGGACATTTGTTTATCCCCGCCTCATATCCAAAAGCAAAAGCAGCATGGGTGAAGCCTGCAATTTCATGTAAAATAGTAGAAAAGCCAATGAAGATGATATATATTGTTCTTTATCATTAGACACTGATTCTTAGTCAATATCATTACTCTAGGACTATTACAGGCCATGATTCTTAGTCAATATCATTACACAAAATCTTCATACATCCAAGTCCTTAGATGAAAAATTGGTGTTAGGCCGTTAGCATTAATATCTTAAGCACATACGAAAGTTCTAAGTATAAATTATAAATAACTGTAGTCAAGGGGAAATTCTTATATAGATCTTACATTAAATAATATTAAGTAATGATATTAGTTCAATCATTCAATCAAGTAAAAACAAAATGAAAATTCAAAAGAATTAAATGCCCTCAAATAATGTTTTCCCTTCCCTTCCTCCTCTCCTTCTCCTCCCAGTCTCATTCTTCTTTGCCTTCCTGATCGCAATACTTACATTGCAGACCCACCTTCATGGCCACCTGCTTCAACCATTCCCCACCACCATCATTATTGCTACTACTTATTCTGAATTCAGTCCCTGTCCTCTCAGGAACAGAAAGTTCCAATAAAAAATGAAAGACAAAACCTATTGTAAAGCCATCTCAAAGGCAGCATGATGAAGACAAAGGCATGAAATGGACGAAGGGAGAGTCACTTGGTGTTGTAAGGGAGGGCGATATATGGCAGATGCATGCAACAGAGGCACTAAAACACAAAAAGGGATGTGACATGGAAACCATCTATGATCATCGAATAAGGACATGGAGGAGATCCCAAACCAGACATGGTGAAGGTGCTTTTGGGATCTGACCTTGATTGTATCATGGGAGTCATCATTCTTCCTCCCATAGGAACAGACACTACTGCATTTTTCAAAATGAGCTTTCTATAACAGACAATAATCTGCAAACAAAACCTGACAATTTGGTGGAATCCTTCTTGTTTCCAATTCCATGAGGGCCCGTTTCTTGTGGCCAAAATGGGCACTTGGTCTGGTTCTCTTCATACAATATGTCTCATCTTTTTACAGACATATTTAATGTTTCTCAAATGGTCATACTAAACTTTTCACATTAACAAAACGCGAAACTTTGGATATGCTAAACATATTAACATTGATAAGCTGCTTTAATGCACACCAAAACCAAAGAAATGCAACTATTTTTTTCCTTTTTTGAAACAAAAGGGTGATTAATATTTAGAATAGACAGCACAGAAGAAGGTAATTCTACTGCACAATGAATGCAAATTCCTCTATGGCTTTGGAGTTTGGACACTAAGATGCATATTTAACAGACATCTCAGTTTATACTCCATGTTTCTACATATAGCATGCGAATAACCATCAACTTACAAACATTTTACTACATACAAAATGGAGCATACCAAAGATAGTACACCATTACAACTTAGGATTGCTTTGATGAATAGGGAGGTAAAAAGATAAAACCAGTATTCCAACTGGTCCCCGAATGCCTGCTTCCATTTTTTTTTACCATTCCTTTCAAATTATCTCGTCTTTGAAGCACAAATTCATAAACCTGATCTGAGACATGAAAACTCACAAAAGTAACATCTTTATACATTGGAATTGTCGCATTTCTTTCTTTACGGTAGTTTTTTTTTTTCCTTGGGCGAGTGGAGTCGGGTGGTTAGAAGGACCTAAACAGAAATGGTCTAAGCCAAGATTCCCCCCCCCCCCTTTTTGGCTATAGGAATCCCGATAACATGGATTTAAAACTAATCGCTTCATCAATGAAACCAACTAAGCAAGCCTGAAGCAATAGTTGTATACTCAGTGCAAAACTAGCAAGGAAAACAAATTTCAGAACTTTGAGATTGAAGTATCAACCCCAAATAACAGATCTGACAACTTCCTCCCCTCCTATCCCTAGCCACAACCAAAAAGACCCACCTTCCGGCCTAAAATTCTTCCAAATTTCCAAAGTAAAGAAGTACGTAATTTCTCAGCATGAGACTAACCCTAACATGGTTGAACAAAACTTGAACTCCACTGCTCTAAAGCCTAAACCATCCACAACGTAATCCGTGTCCAAACCCTAGACTTCTAACATCAAGCGGAAGCAAAGAGGGAATCAAGAATGAGCGGAAACAAAAAACCGACAAAACATAAAGACGAATTCTGAAGGACGGGCATAAAATAAAGAGCGCAGGAAGAAAGCAAACAAACCTGATTCTTGAAGGTAGCGGAAGACGAGGTAATTGAGCTCCACGGAGGTGATGGAGTTCATGTTCTCGGAGCAAGCGGCTTCAATGGCCTTCAAGAAGGCTCAAGAAACCATGCGTCTGAGCCGCAGAGATGAAGCAAGAATGGCCGGAAAGGGAGACAGTAGAGTAGAAACGACGGTCAGGGGCAGAAAGAACGGGCAGCTTTTGATAGGGGGAGGAGGAGGAGGAGGAAAGAGGAAAAGCGTCGTTAATGGTGGCAGCTAAACAGAGGGATTTTACAAACGCTCGTCACGCGAGTCAGGGTGGGTTCCGTTTTGCCCTTTTTCGTTAGTGTACTTATTGCTTCGCCTCTTCTGTTTTGGGGTGATTTTATTTATTGGTCGTAAGTCGTCAGTCGTCACACGCCGATCGTTTCATCTAAAATCAATGCATAGTTTTGTTAAAATATTAATATTAACTTATTTTCAAATATCATTTTTTTTAATTGCCAACTACTATGCATCAAATCAATACATCAATATTAACGTGAATAATTAATAAATGACCGTTGGTGCATAAAAAAATAAATGACCGTTAAAATTTTCTGCTGTCGGAAATTATTTTTATGTTTTCCCCACGAGACAAAACTGTGGTGGCCGGACTCCAAATCTCTTTTATCTTTTTTTTTTTTAAAATTCTATATTAAGGCACTGGGACCTGGTTTGATCTAATCTAACACTCATTGTTGTTTAACATAAGACGTATCTAATTAATTTGATTAAATTAAAGAAGTTAAACAAGTTAGTTAATTATAAGAAATATGACATGTTTTTTCTAAAATACTGTAATCATATTTCTTAATATCTTCTCTCTCTTTTTTACTTAATTATGGTTGACGGAGTATCTATAGAGGTAATTTAAAAAAATTAACAAATATGAGAAATAAATCTTATATTTAAGATCAAAATTAACTTAATAATTAAGTCCTATATTAAGGACCGGAGGAGTAGTTTATATTTGCCAAAAAAAAAATTAATCTTTTGCCATCAGTCTAATATTTGTATGTCATCAACTCAAACCTACTTCCTGTACATAATAAATTTTGTATCTTATAAAAGCTTGACGATTGTGTGTATTAAATTAACTTTGAAAATTTTAAATTCCGCATATTTTTTTTAAAAGTGTAAATGTTAAGAATCTCCCACAGTTTTTTCAAATAATGCGTCACTCCCAAATTATAGACAGCTTGGCGGGGAAAAAAATTATGTGTGGCTTTCAAATTTTCTAATCACGTGCAAATGCAATGCTTTCAAAACAAAATCTCTCAAGTCTCAAATGCAGTGTAATGATTATTAATTAAAATTTACTATTTTAATATAAAGAATTTAGTTTTTTTTTCAATTACGTGCTCATTCAAAAAATTGAAATATTTGATATATATTTATATATTTGTTAGTTTTTTAAAAAATATATCATTGATTGGTTAATCAAAATATTTGCTGATAAAAAAAATAAAAAAATGATCGCATGACTTTTCATTAGTCGCTATAATGGCATATGATTTAATAAAAATATTTGCTGACAGTTCAAAGTTTTATTAATGGAATTGGCCTCCCTCAGTCTCTCTTATTCCTCTTCAACAATTCTTGGATGTTGAGATAAACTTGAGATTGGTGTTTATGAATAATAATTACAGAATATTAAATCCTAATTAGGATGATGAGTTATTCTTTGGTTAGGTTATTTTAATATTTAAAGAGTATATTTATTTTTTAAAAAAAAACTTGACAATTGGGAAATTTATGTGACATCAGTGGATTCACAGGGAACATGATCACCGGTTGAGAATTGAGATCAATGAATATAGAGGTTTTTTATATTTTGAATGAGATATTGAACTCAAATATGCACCGCATGAAGCTATTCATTGTGCTGATTATCTTGTAAGAGTTAGTTTGCCAACTACTCCCTCCCATCTTATTTATAAGTTTAAAATTAAAAAAAAAGTATGATTTATTATATAAACTTTTATTTGGGTTTGTTTAAGCATTTAAAGTGTTTTTATTCTATTGTCCTGAATTATTTATTCTTTTCTATTTACCACACTCTTTTTCATTACAGTTTCCTGTATATTTTCTTTTATCCCTTTTGCTTTTTTTGTTATAAAGGCATATTTAGAAATAAACATATGTTTCTTATCTATTTATTATTTTTAACTTATTTTTACTTATACATAAATTGGTTATTCAAAGCTTATGATAGGGATCAAAAAGAGTAATTAACAGCGACAAAGGTTTAAGGTTTAGGCGTGAAAAAAGATTAGGATTTATACCCTCTTTTACGTAACAATCGGAGATTTTTTTAAAAAAATCACACTCGAAATAGCGTGACAAGAAAGAAGAAAAATTTGTTGAAGCTGGACTGAATAAGAAACATGTATAAGTAACAAATAGTTGAACGTGTTAAAAATTCTCATACTACCTTGTACTTAATATAAAAACTATTTAACTATTTGAGTAGATTAATAAAATTAATTATGCTATTTATAATAATCACGAGTTGATTTTATTAAAGTACTATTTATAATTATAACTATCTCTGGATTAGCAATCATTTGACATGTGATACCTTAGAGAATAAATTAAAAATTGGATAGACAAAATAAATTAAAATCTTATATTTAAGGTTAAATTTAATCTTCAACTGATTTTTATAGTAAGAAGTAGAGGTAGTATCCAATAAAAATGAGTTAAAAAAAGGTACATAAATAAAGAGAACTTACAAATCTATATTTCACCGTAAAGTTTTGTGTTGAGATATGGCGTTGAAATCACTTAGGACATGATACAATTTTGTTCAAACAGTTAAAATGAATATAAAAATGTCAATTTTACAATAAATTACATTGTTAGTTTAAGTGATATATTGAGGGTAGGTGAGTAGTGTAATTAATTAAATAAATGTGTAGTGATTAAGTTGACGTGCGGGGGATAAGAATGAAAGGAACATATCATGCAAGGCGTTGCAGGCGTGGCAGTCTCATAGGAAGCACGCAGGACCAGGCCTTGCACATGCATGCCATCTCAAAGCCATCCATATATGAGAAAAAGTAAGTGCCACCGAAGAAGCATGAAAATGACCTTGATTTCTCCCTAGTTGTATCCAAAATTGAAGTTGGAGAGTGTCATTTATCTCTCACATATCATCTACAGGCTGCGGCATAAATGATTGAGCGAGATTAAACACTCTGACGGCAACCAAATAAAACATTTTTTTTATATTTTACTCCTTCAGTCCTAAATATAAGACCCTTATCTGTAAGAGTATAAATAAAATCAGAAGAGTATTCTTTAATACGTCATTATTTTCCTGTAAGCTTATTCATAATAAGCTCTTGTATATATCATCACCCATGTTAACTACCCCTCTCGTCCATAAGTTGATTAACTTGTCTTACATATCAAGAAATAAAAGTTTTGATTATTAAATTTGTCTTAAAATGATAGAGTTTCACCTCCAAAAAATTATAAGGTCGTCTTTAATATTATGTTTTTATTATCTCTCACCTCTCTCTTCTATATTTAATAAAGGCAAAAATAAAAAGATCATATTAATTATCTTGATAATATCTTATATCTTGAACTATAATTTTTTTTTCTAAACAATGTCTTTTATGGCAGTATTGTGGAGTAGAGTATCTGACATAAGGCTCCATTATTGCTTGAGCATCAATTGATCAATGTCATTTTTGCTCTTGTGAAGCCCCGCCAACTAGCGCATGATCATGTTCCTTCTTCAGCTCATATGGCTTTTCCCTAAAACATTTCTTCTTTTGGGGCCCCTTCTTCAATCAATCTTTGACTCCTTATGATGTATCCGGCTTGATACGAATCGCCCGATTTATACAGTCAGAAAATCTCGAAGGTCCGCAAATAGAAACAATCAGTTAAAAAGTTTTGCTGTGATCACCAGAACCCGATCTAATTTCTCTTAGATATTGGGCCACTGTACTCCGCCTCTCTTTCAGGATTTCAGTTAAATTTTAATCGAATAAAAAAAAGGACTAGGAAATCTATTATTTTATGTAATTGTTTATAAAATTTCACAATTTATTTTTAAAAAATACAAATATATCACATAAGACCTTCCAATACGTGCTATATAAATAATGTAACTTATCTCATATAATAAATAAAAAGTATTAAAAATAAACACATACTAATAAGTTCATGAATCAGTTTCTGGTCCATGAAAAAAAGCTTATACATCAGTCGTAAGAAACCTACACTTCGAAAGATTACATCTAATGTTTGCATCATTACTTGGTCAATACTGGTAGATAAATGGATGCATTGGTTGGTTGAATGATAAAAAGAGAAGGGCGTACTTAACAAGGAGATGGAAACATGGACATAAATATAAGAAAGCGCATTTCGCCTGCCATTCTAGCAACAATGACGCAGAATCAGAAGAGTTACAACATCAAAAGCTCCAGTTCAAACAGCATCAAATGACGGAGACTTTATGGAAAGCATGAGCTCACTATCCAATTACCAAAATAAATCCTGCTAACAGTGGATTTGCCCTTCAACTAGTTGAAGAATGGCAGCAGAATTATTACAACTTATGCATTTAACTGTAAGAGTGTTCCTTTTCATTTGGATCTTGTAATGATTCTGTGAGTAAGATCAACCAAAGCTTTCCTTGATTTTCTGACATCATCTTCATCATTCGCAGGCAGGGAATCAATTGCTGATGCTGCAAGCGTAACATGCTTCAAGGCTAACTCCCTTGTCCTCTGCATACCCCGGCTCTTTGCAAGATAATCCAGAGCCTGCATTTCCAACATGCATTACGCATATAAACAAACAAGTCTAACAAGTTGAATAATATGGTGAGTGCGGTGTTTAAGTGTTGAAAACGTTATCAGTCTAACAAGCCTGCATTTCCTCTTTACCTTACATTTGGTGTTGAAAACATTTACTCTTGCTGACCTTTTGCTTTTAAAAATCCAGGTACGATTTCGTTATTAACTAGTTCATGGCTTTTTGGTACTATATTCCAGTTATTCCATGTAGTGCTACTGTCATTACAGAACCTTTTTGGCTATTTCAGTGCTGTTGCTGTTAGTGGATGGGGAGCCTATCGATGATCAAATCTAATTGCCATCCTCACAAGGCACATCGATGCCTATAATCCCTCAAAACGGTTTCTACCTTTGTTTAGGAAGATTTAAACTGAACGCCAAAAAAAAAAGAAGGAAGATTTAAACTGAACACAGAATGCAAGTACATCACATTAACTTACAAGATCAACATTGGCAGGGTTGTCAAAGCCCTTTTCAATAACTGTACGCAACTGGGGGAATTCCTCCATCGCAAACAATAGTGGAGCTGTTACAATGCCCTGCAATAATTTTTTAGGTCAACAGTAAAATTGACGGGAAGGCAGATGTCTCTTACAAAATGTCATAATGGGACATATAACAAAATAATGTCTCAGTTACACTTAGTATCACAGAAAAGTGTAAATTTGGTAAATGAGGGATGTAACCTTAAACACTGCACTGCTAGCAGTCGAAACAATTAAACACTGTTATGAGGGAAAGATAAATTGAGTACTATGAAACTTTCTCGGGACATTGCATTTTCACAACAATAAGAAAATGCGATTTAGAAATCTTTCAGCAGTGCCTGACAGTAACTATAACATCAAAATCAGGATGGATAAAACTACAAATCGGGAAACAAAAAATTATGAAATTACATGGCGAATGTCTGATAAAGAGCCCTTCCCAAGAGAAGCTGATGTGCCTGTGAAATCAAGCACATCATCTATCAATTGATATGCCAGTCCCTGCAAAATTCGACACTGTATTAAATTATGTCATTCAAAGAATATAGACATATGTTTGCCACTTAATCAGATGGCACAGAATTAAGCACTAGACAATAAGAGATGGACGATATTTAGAAGTATTATGAGATATCAGTGCACTACACAATTTTAACACTGATGGAGACTTGGTAGTATGGGGTATTAAATCCCACATTGAGTAGTATGAGATATATTTAAGTGGGTTAGTTCTCCCACCTCCCCAGCTAGCTTTTGAGGCAAGGTTCCCTACCCTACTTAGGGGCCCACCAATTGGTGCTAGAACTAGGTTGTTGGCAATTCCAGAGAAAACTATCCATGGAGGGTTTTGAACGGTAAGGGGGTCCATTGAAGTGTTATGAAGTACAGGCACCGGGATGTCAACTTTCCATGGAGGCTTGGTAGCATGGGATGTTAAGTCCCACATTGAGCAGCATAGGATACTTAATAGGGTATTTAAGAGAGTCGAATCTCCCACCTCAATAGCTAGTTTTTGGGTTCAGGTTTAACATCCCACCTAGTTACCCATTATATTGTAATTTATTTTTCTTGGCCACTGATAAGTTTAACATCATAATTTAACAGAACTAAGAATATACAAACCAGATTTTTCCCGTACTCAAAAGCCAACGTTGCAACCTCTGATGTTTGTCCTGCAAGCAATGCGATTGCCTTGCAGCTATTTGAAATTAATGATGCAGTCTTGTAGTATGTCTTTTGCATATAATATTCCATGCTGCGTATATAAACAATTGTCAAAGAAGGAAAAAAAATACCTGATATATCTCCTCAGATTTAATGCATTTGTTTTTTTGGTCCGAAAGATTCAATGCAATCTTAAGGTTTATCTATTGCGTGTTTCCTGTGAAGTTCATATGAGTAATATTTATCTATTAACAAAATCAATGAGAATTGCTATAGTAAATCACAAACATTGATATACAAATCCAAATTTAAGGCTACCGTCTTACATTTATAGAACTAGCTGCATGAAAAAGTAGATGTGTACTTGGTAGAAATATGATTTATAAGCATACCTACACTGTTGATCAGATGTCGTAGTCATCTGCTTGGTCTCCCCTCTTACAAGATGCTCTACAGCTTTTGCCATCAAAGATACAACCTGCACACACACAATCTTGGGCAGATTAGAATTTTTAAGCAGAAGTTATACAATAATATGCACTATCAATGGAACGAGGTGATTTAGGAGAAGAAGGGGTTAGAATTCTTATACTGAAAATTTGGGGTTTTCAGGGAGAACCAAATGTAGAAAATAGGTACGTTGAATGTAAAACAGCTGTCAAGAGGACAAACGTGGCTTGGAAGCTGCCATGGGATGGCATGGAAAGATCAAACTGATGGACTGAAAAAATAGATTCTCTGAAGTAACAGTGTAAAGTATATAATAACCCTCAGTGACTATGATCTACTATAGGTCTTGAGAATACAATTCAGCTAAGAATCAAAATTAGATGAATTTATTGAACTGATTTGATGTTCAAACATTATGTTTTCTTGATGTTAACATGTTAAACATCACTAGGATGCATCTGTACATGAAAAAGATACCGGCCTACCTCATTGTGTTTCAAAGAAGCCAGAGTAACAGTAGCTCGGGAAAGCAAAAAATTTCCAGCTAACACTGCCATCTGCATCAAAAAGTAACAAGAATATAGCCAAATAACCAACTCATAACAAGTTAACTGTAGAATATATCATGGATCACTAACGAACAAAGCAAATGATAAGCAACCAATAGATCTCACATTATGCACCTACCTTATTGCCCATTACAAAATTTAATGAACCAATACCACGTCTTGTATCTGCATCATCCAGCACATCATCATGAAGCAGGCTAGCCACCTGTGACAATACAAAAATATTAGCTTGTTCACGGAATTGAGAACCTTTTTTTTGTTTTGTGGAAGCAGCAGCCATAAAAATGAAAACATAAATACTAGGTATGAACAAAGAAAGGAGTGGTTCAGTAATGTCAGCAGAACTTTTCCAGAATGCTGTCTAAGAAAAGGATATGATTAGCCACACAGTGGCATCATTAGAAAAAACAAAATTTAGAAGAAGAAGAAGAAGAAGAAGTCCTTGTCCAATCAAAGAAGACGTAAAGCAAATGGTCAACTCATATGAACAAGTCAGAATAAGCATAGAAGCAAGCAAAAGGCAACAGTCCTTTCTAAGCAACCAGGGAGTTGACTTCTAATTCCTACCTTTTCGGAGAAAGTAGCATACTCTAATGTCCTTTAGGTCTGTGTACTAGATTATTGTATTTTGGGAGACTGTGCTGCTTACTTTTGAATATATTAGCCGTTGTAGATTGAGGGAGGCAAGACGTTTTTGCATGAGAGTATGGTGAGGAGAGAGCTGACCTCTCAAACGTCAGGTTCATTGTATGAACTGTGAGTGTGTGAACTATTTTTTGTAACTTCCTATCTCCCACTGAGTAGGAAGATTGTCATTGCTTAATCGTATTCAGAGTATTATTCCACTGTTAGATCCATTTACTGTTTCATCATTTGCATATTGCTGTTCCTGCTCTTGGTCCCTATCACAATGCAAAACTAGATTAGGAACTGCATAGTTGAAACTGTCTCAACTATATAACCCGAATAGTTTCATCCATGAATTATTTTCCCATATGCTCTTACCTTCTACCTCAGTTATCTTTCGAGAATTCTTTCTCACAGAACCAAATTAAAACATCAAAAATTTGTCCTAAAGATGAATTATTTTCCCATATAAAAACTCTCTTGTACACATTTTGTCTTTAAAATGATTTTATCAGGGGCATTATGCAATCACTATTTGCTTAAGAGCAGAAGAATTTTGAAGCACTGACATGAATCATCTCTGTTATTTCAGCTAGTCTTTGCTGTCTTAAACGTAGTTCTGTTGTCAAAGTGCCTGCCAACTCATTAGGAGGAAGCGGTAGATTTAACGCTGTTGACATCAACAACAAAACCTGAATGAACACCCATATATTAAATCATATCCTGTTATGAATTGTGTATGCCAGGCAAAATCATGAGTACTGCATACAAGAAGAATCATAAACAGATAAACTATACACTCTCTCAGACAGATAAATACCTGGAAATAAAGTTAAGTTATAGTTGATTGGCATCATATAATGAAGAACTAAGCCAATAAACAACAATTAAATAATAAAGGGGCACAGAAAAGTATTCGAACAAGGAAAAGAAAAAGAAAAAGAAGTTATATGTGAATTTTATTTCTCAAATATTCTATCCTTCGGAAAATCTGGCAACCATTTTAGGTACATATGCCATAAGCTACATTTCAAGTTCAAGAGCTCATGATAGACATAAGAAGATGCATGTGCAAGATACATATACTCTCCATTCAAAGGACAAGTTGCCGTTTCAAAATCAGGAAAATAAGTAAACGACACCAACACTTTGACATTGTAGTGTAAAATATACAGTCAAGTCGTAGGTGCATTGAATCATGTGCCCAGGTATCATGGTCGGATATTGAATTTTAGGATGAGTAGAAGAAAAACCAGATTTTATGATCACCTTGTGTTTTTCTTTTTTTCTTTTCTTTTTGTTTTTTTGGTAAAGGGGAAATATATTGAAAACAAATATTTACAGAGAGGGAGCACAACCAGACTAGGCAGTAGACCTTATAGAATTAAGAAACTCTGCTGTCCTGGTGGTATGGTGCGCTAAACTATGAGCTAGCCAAACAATACAATCAGATGTCCTGGGTTCATTGCCTAGTGTTTCTATTTTTCACATGTGGTCACTTGACCTGACTTTGTGTTCCCCAGCAAATTTCACACAATGGTAAAAACATGAGGCCTATTGTTGTTGGTAGAAGCATGAGGTGACCATGTGATCTTGTAGGATCATGCTAATATGCCTTAGGAGTGAATGTTTTACATAACGGAGACTTGGATCTTACCGTAGGGCGAAATCTTTTTCCTTCGACCCCCATTTTGAAGAAGTACTCAGCAGCTGAAGCAAGCTGAGGAACCTGCGGCACAATTCCCAATTTTTCCTGTTTATTATATTTGACTTCTATGCAGAACATTAATTGGACTTGGTTGCTTCCAATCAGACGTGTGTTAAAACAAATTGAAGAGCACTCTAATACCTCAGCAACTACCATTGCTCGCAGCCTGTTAGCAATAACTGATAGTTCATCGGCAACCAGAGAAAATGGGTCTAGTTGATCCTGAAACAGTATATTTATCTCAATAGATGAATGTAATTCATAAATTTTTATTTTGAATAAATCTATTTGTGCTTGTTGATGGCAACTGAAGTTGCTTTGCTTCTAAATATCTGAAATAAAATGTAAAAGTTCTCTAAAGTCCTTGAACAGGCTCAACATCTGCCACAGTACCAATTACTCTAACCGTGATTATCTAGCTGCTAGCCATTGAAATAGAATATGCTACTTTCTGAATAAAAACGATGCACAAATGTTTGGGGATAAAACTTTGTGTAACAGTTGACAGTCCAGAGAACATTTTATGGATATCTAATTAAATGATGCAGACTGAAATATCCCAGTAATATATTACTCATTTTCTTTTGATTGAAAGGTAAATATGAAAAGCAGTGAAGTGGCAGAATATTAGGGGATATTTTTCTACTTTTGGCATCCGTAGGTTGTCAGTAAATATGTTGTTCCACAGCTATGGGTAAAACACAAAACGAAATACTCCTCTGGTCTTTAATATAAGACCTATTTAACTAATTTGATTATATTAAGGAAGTTAAGGTAAGTTAGTTAATTATAAGAAATATGACATGTTTTTCCTAAAACACTAAAATTATCTTTCTTAATGTCCTCCTTCCCTCACTTATTTGATTATGGCTAAGGGAGTATCCATAGGGATAATTTAGAAAAAATTGATAAATATGAGAAATAAGTCTTATATTTAGGACTAAAATTAATTTAATAATTAGATCCTATATTAAGGACCGGAGGAGTATTACATGCTATCACCCTATGCATCTAGCAGCAGAATCATCTTTTAAAGGTGATGATTCAAACCAGATAAAAGAAGAGGAGAAAAGAACATAAAAAACTAACCTCAACAATAGAGCTGGTCTGACAATGGATTTGACGACCAGCATCAACAAATTTTGGAATACCGTTTGAAAAAATTAAACTTCTCTGAACCTGAAACTCACCAAATGGATAACAAGTTATTATTATTTGGCATTGTTTTCGTCACGATTGTCTCTCCTGACTTCATAATTGAAGGAAGCACAAGAAACAATCCTTGTCTAATGAACCACTGAGCACAGTTTCATCGGTAACATTAAATATCCCACTACTCAGCATCCGCCATTGCAGACTCATACTTCATACAACTTCCAAAGTATGCAACAACTAACAACACAATCAACTATTTACAAATGAGCCATCATTAATCAGGAATTTGCCAAACTTATTAACCAATGACCTAAAATCCCAATATAAAATTGAATCCGCAACTCCAAGCAATTGCCTAAGTACTGCATTATGACACGTCATCCTTCAAGGAACCAAATCAGTTGATAGAAATTTGAAAGTAATGATCCAAGCAATTGCCTAAGTACTGCATTATGACACGTCATCCTTCAAGGAACCAAATCAGTTGATAGAAATCTGAAAGTAATGATCCCACATGACATATTGCTCAAATCAAAAGGAACAAACTCTGGGGCTTTGGATCTCAGAACAACTAACTAATGGGAATTCCATGAACATATCCATAACCTTACTGAAATAAGCAGCTCAAATATAGATACCCTACATAGAAAACTCAGAAGGGAAGTTACCTTGTCCATAGAGCCTCCAGGTGAGTGATTGTAATACGAGAAAAGAAATTGATGTTTCTGGTCTCGACTACAAAGAAACCATCGACATGCATTCAAGCTACCTTTGAGGTTCCTTCCTGATATCCGAGAAAGTATCATTGTGCCCAAGTAAAAGAAGTGTTCTGTGGTCTCGAAGAAGCAGAGTCAAGAGTAGTCAAATAGAAACACACACAAGGATCAATTTTTAAATGCTACAGAAGCGAGACCACCGCCATGGATCAAAGTGGTGGTGACGGCTCGCCCAGACATCCAAATTCAATTCAACAGCAAGAGGCAAGCTCTTGAAGTTAGGTTCGTTAAGTGAGTTATCCTGAAATTGTGATTTTTATTTATTTATTTATGCCATTATAATTTAATTTTTAATTATTGAAAAGCATACGTGATGTCATGATTTTCTGGTTTAGTAATTTTGTTGTAGTAAAATTTGTATTATTCAATTATCCGACAATTTTTTTTTTTCCTGTCTTCCTCACTCACTGTTTTCTTAAAAAGAAAATATATTGGCATTCTTTTTTGACCAGCAATATATTGGCATTCTTTAATATGATTCTTCAAGCTTCAAGTTAAAATATTGTAGATTATTGTTGAAGGGCGTGAAATTGGATTTATGTTATTGTTGTTTTTTTTTTGGCCAACAAGATTTATGTTGTTGTTTGAATAATAAAACTTTTGTGATAATAAAGATGATATGATTTACGCAATTCGAGTTATATACATCATTTGAAAAAAAAATTCTACTTTGAAATATGTGGGTTAAAAAATAAAATAGTCTTTTAAATGTAACTTTTAAAATAATAACTATAATAAATTGTAACCAATCAACTTAGATACTTAAATCAAGTACAATTTTTGAATTTTTTTAAAAAAATTCAAATGGCACTAATGGAAATTCATAATGCCAAATGTAAAATGAGGCGTTCGCTTCATTCAGTGTTTACACATATGCGTGGGTGCTAGTTCCCATGCGCATTAATATCAATTTTCTAGTTTTTCTTGTTGCTCGGTCATTTGGATTCGAACCGGTTTTTTAGTAATTTAGGAGCATGCACCGGCCAACTTCAATAGTTTGGGTTAGGCTTATTTATTAGACACGGTATTTGGATGGTAACCAAATCATAGTTTTAGAAGTATTTTTACGGTTTACGAAATAAATATATAAAGGAATTTGTTTCGTTTTGCGAAAAATTCCTTCTGAGAAGCACTTTTGAGGGCTGCCAAAACACCCCCGAATTTGACTTAGGAAAACGAATATTTACTCCATACAATTTTAAATAATTTCTTTTGCTGACTTAATCCTATATAATTTTGTCACTTACGAGTACTTGTTGTAGCAGGTTGCCGCAAGCTGCAGGTTCAATCAAACAACTTCCATTCTGTTCCAAGAAATTAATAAAAGAAAATGAAACATAGAGCCAAACCCATAATTGTTCTAAAAAGTATTATCTCTGATTTTAATTATAAAACATCATTTGTAAACTAAAATAATGTTTTATAATTAATTTTAAAGACTTGTAAGATGCTATTGGTCAATAGAGGCAAACTCTGTGATATTGGGTTCACTTCGATTGGGTTTCAGCAAATGGGCCGTAAAACTAGAGGCCCAAATTTTGTACCGTGATACATGGGCTTCTTGCTGGTACTCTCTATTTTAAACCCACCAAATCTCTGGTTTTTTTTTTAAGCTTCGCCTAGTATCTGTGTTGCGGTTTGCATCCCAGTATCCTCCTGTGCGCTAGTCTTTTTTTTTTTAAAACAAAAATGATTATTTGGAGCATTTTGATAGTTCAAACTCATTGCAGTGCCAAAAGAAAAGAAGCCGAAGTAAAAGGCATCGAGGTTTTACCAAAAACAAAAAAAAAAGGCATCGAGGTTTAATTACTACTCTTATGTTCCTTCATATAAGACCTATTTAACTAATTTAATTAGATTAAGAAAATTAGATAAGTTAGTTAATTATAAGAAATGTGACACGTTTTTCCTAAAATACCATAATCATCTTTCTTAATACCCCTTCTTCCTCTTTTACTTAATTATAGTTGATGAAGTATCCATATGAGTAATTTAGAGAAAATTGATAAATATGAGAAATGAATCTTATATTTAGGACTAAAACCAACCCAACAATCGGGTCCTATATTAAGGATCAGAGGAGTATTCTATTAGAATCTTATAAAATTCTTTTTAAAATGAAAATTACATGATTTAATTTCAAAATTAATCAAATACAGCATTTTTCATAATCTTAATCAAATAGAGTTTTTTTTTTTTTAAGAATCTTACAAATATTATTTAAGGTACCTAGTGATTTTAATTTTTTTCCGCCGAACAGTGGCTTCAATTCTACGCACACACATGTTGATTAATTAGGGGATATTTAGATAGAAACTAAATTATAATTTTAAAAGTACTTTTTATAGTATACGAAGTAAATATATAAAAAAATTTATCTTATTTTGTAAAAAAAAATGTTTCTAAAAAGCTCTTTTGAGTGCTTCCAAGCACTTTTTAGTCTTGAATTCTAATTTATACATATCTTAACTCCACAATTTGAGCGGAGATTCACGTGATATTATTATTATTATTATTATAAATAAAAAGGCACACTACACACTTATCAATGTATGCTTAATTGCTTATTTAGCCGCGAGGAAGACGGATTTTTTTTAATAAACTGTCAAGAGACTGAATAGGTTGGTTGGCTAAAATACAAGACATGCGAGTAATTTAACAATTCAACTAATATAATAATAATAGTTCGTGAAAAAGCATCTACTTAAATAAAATATCATCAAACATGCACGATCCATTCTAATTCAATATCCTTAATAGGGGTGTGTTTTTCAATATGACTTTTACAAAAATGAGGTTGAATAAAAGTCAGATAAGATAATATGATATATGTTTAGATTAGATTTTGTAAAAAAGTCAGTTTGAGAATTAAAACTTTTTTGGATAACTAATGAAAAGTTAGTTTACATGTAAAATGAACAAAAATAATATGAATTTTATTAAGTAATACTACTTCCAGTCCTTAATATAAGAACTACTCCTCCGGTCCTAATTATAAGACCCAATTGACTTATTTGAAGAGATCAAGGAAGTAAGTTAAATTGGTTATTTATAATAAATAAGTGTTGTTATTCCTAAAATATCCTTGCTAATTAAGTATATTGGCTAAAACTATCATTATTAGAAGGATTATCTTGAAAAAAAATGTATAAATATAAGAGAGAAAATGGATTGGGTCTTATAATTAGGACCAAATAAAAAGTCAAATTGGGTCTTATAATAAGGACCGGAGGAGTAGTTTGATATTAAATTTGATTCTAAATATAAAACAATAACTATTTATTATAAATAAATAATTTAACTAACTTTCTTGGTCTTTTCAAATTAACTAACTAGTTCTTATATTAAAGAGCGGAGGTAGTACATATTCAATATTAAATGTATATAAGTGACAATTGTAAAAAAAATATTGAAAATAAAATCATTTAAAATAAAAAAAATTAATTTATTACTAGAAAGAAATTAAAAAAATACTAAAATGATGTGTTATAATTAAGACGGGAAGTAGTATTTTAAAGACTTGTAAGATGCTATTAGTCAATGGAGGCAAACTCTTTGTGATATTGGGTTCTCTTCGATTGGGTTTCAGTAAATGGGCCGTAAAACTAGAGGCCCAACTTTTGTACCGTGATACATGGGCTTCTTGCTGGTACTCTTTATTTTAAACCCACCAAATATCTGGTTTTCTTTTTAAGCTTCACCTAGTATCTGTGTTGCGGTTTGCATCCCTGGATCCTCCTGTCCGGTGGTCTTCTTTTTTTTGTTTTTAAATAATTATTTGGAGCATTTTGATAGTTCAAACTCATTGCAGTGTCAAAAGAAAAGAAGCCGAAGTAAAAGGCATCGAGGTCTAATTACTATTCTTTCTGTCTTTAATATAAGACTTATTTAATTAATTTGATTAGATTAAAAAAATTAGGTAAGTTAGTTAGTTATAAGAAATATGACACATTTTTCTTAAAATACCATAATCAACTTTCTTAATACCTCCTCTTTCTCTTTTACTTGATTATGGTTAAGGGAGTATCCATATGGATAATTTAAAAAAAATTGATAAATATGATAAATGAGTCTTATATTTAGGACCAAAACCAACTTAATAATTGGGTCCTATATTAAGGATTGGAGGAGTATTCTATTAGAATCTTATAAAATTCTTTTTAAAATGAAAATTACATGATTTAATTTCAAAATTAATTAAATACAGCATTTTTCATAATCTTAATCAAATAGAGTATTTTTTTTTTAAGAATCTTACAAATATTATTTAAGTTTGGGCTACGGCCTTGGGGTTTTTGGTAAAAAAGGTACCTAGTGATTTTGATTTTTTTCCGCCGTAGAGTGGTTTCAATTGTACGCACACAGATGTTGATTAGTCGAGGAATGTTTAGATAGAAACTAAACCACAGTTTTAAAAATACTTTTACAGTATACAAAGTAAATATGTAAAAAATATCTTATTTTATAAAAAAAGTGCTTCTAAGAAGCTTTTTTGGGTGCTTTTGAGCACCACTTTAAGAGTCTTGAATTCCAATTTATACATATCTTAACTCCACCATTTGAGCAGAGATTCACGTGATATTATTATTATTAATATAAATAAAAAGGCACGCTACACACTTATCAATGTATGCTTAATTGCTTATTTAGCCGTGATGAAGACGAATTTTTTTTAATAAACTGTCAAGAGACTAAATAGGTTGGTTGGCTAAAATACAAGACATGCGAGTAATTTAACAATTCAACTAATATAATAATACTAGTAATAATAATAATAATAGTTCATGAAAAAGCATCTACTTAAATAAAATATCATCAAACATGCAAGATCAATTCTAATTCAATATCCTTAATACGGGTGTGTTTTTCAATCTGACTTTTACAAAAGTCAGATAAGATAATGTGATTTATGTCTAGGCTGAATTTTGTATAAAAATTAGTTTGAAAAATTAAAACTTGTTTGGATAACTAATGAAAAAGTTAGTTTATATGTAAAATGAACAAAAAGATATGAATTTTATTAAGTAATACTACTTCCAATCTTTAATATAAGAGTTAGTTTGGTATTAAATTTGATTCTAAATATAAAACAACAACTATTTATTATAAATAACTAATTTAACTAACTTTCTTGATCTTTTCAAATTAATTAACTAGCTCTTATATTAAAGACCGGAAGTAGTACATATTTAATATTAAATGTATATAATATGACAATTGTAAAAAAATATTGAAAATAAAATAATTTAAAATAAAAAATTAATTTATTATCAGGAAGAAATTAAAAAATACGACCTTTCCACCGCATTGTTAACTTTTTACCGGTAAAAGCAGGATTGATTAGTTTCTTTCATAAGTCCGTTTGAGATCCAAAAATCAGATTGTATAAATATTATACCAAACACTATATTTTCTGAAAAAACACCGTTTACCATTTGAATCGCATGTTTTGGTGTCAAACCGTGAATGCAAACACACCCATGGTCATAGCGTTCGTTTGGATTGCGTTCTTCCAACGAATTCCGAGGCTTCTCAGTTGAATTTCTCCGAGATATCCCCTCACGTTTCCAATAAGGCCATATATGTACATACACATATACCACTCTGTTTCTCCACCTTTTTTGACCAGCCGCTCTGTTTCTCTACTTAGAGGAAGAGATTTCCGTTCATTTTATCTGTGATTTTGTAACTTTTTTTTTTTTTAGAAGTATATACACCCAATGTCCTGACCGACCTCTCAATGAATTAAAACCAAATCAGACTAATTAGAAGTGAGACCCATATGAACCGCAACCCCACTATCAACACTGCTGTGTTTCCCAAAAAGTCGAACTCATTACCGATTCTTACTAATTGATCCAAGCGCTGGATACTTTTATTTATAACTTATACTCTTTTTATGCTTCATTTTCATTTCCATTATTATTAATTATAATAAAGATGAAGAGAGAATGAGCAAGAGAAAATATATTAATTTTTAATGTTCCCCATACCATGGCTAAAAGTAAAAAATTTCACCCATTTAATCTATTATAAATAACAATTAACAAGGACCAGTGATACACACACATATATATTAAAAAGTGTCTAACTTTTAGAAAGGTCTAACTTCAGCCAGTGCGGCGATTCCACTAACTGGGCAGGTCATAGAGTGGATGATCACATTGGTAATTGCATAGTTCACTCGTATATTTATAATAATTAATCATTCATAACAGCCACAATGGATAAGAACAAAGTAGCCTTCAAGAGATTTGTTTATTCTGGTTCTTCTTTCCCATTCCTAATAGTCCAAACCCAAATATGAATTACCTAATACAGGTTTTATTTTAAAGCTTCACCCCCAAAATCACACCTAACACATGATCGGGGCCGGAAAACCAGAACCACCAAACTGAATCCCTCCTAAGAACTGTCGCTCCGATTCGGCTTCGTTGACACAAATACCTATTACCGCATCATCAAGCAACATTCTGATTCCATTCTACTGACAATTCAACTATTGTAAAAGGTGAAAACGCTCAAAAAAAGAATAATACCTGATGTTCATCAATGTTGGGAATCCAGTCGTTTGTGGCCGGGTTACTTTTATATGCAGGCAACTTCGTTTCACCACCATTAATAATCTGGGTGTTCTGGAATTTAAGATCATCACCTCCCATCCTCTCAACCTTTATAAACCCACTTCCTGTCTGTTCCAGAAAACAAAGAACAGAACCCAGAATTGATTCAAAAGGTTTTAAAGACTTGATCAGATCAAGAAGAAGAAAGATGACGAACCGTGTGGTGCTGTTTGTCGATAGAGGTAAGCTTTTCGTAGTACCGGGTCTCTACAAACTCGTCCGGCGCATCCTTGGGTCCCTCATCGGAGAACACAGCCTGGGGATTTGGTGAAACAAGCGTGAGAGACAGGTTGAGAAATTCGGGGGGAAAAAAAAGGAAAGAAACAGAGAGGTATTGTCGCGGACGTGAGGTTGAGATTGAAAAGATTGAAACTTGAGAAGCTCGGGAATGTTCTGAGAGATGACGGTGGAGGAGTGACGGAGCTGAGCGTCAGGGTCCGGTTCGCTTCGATTGGGTTTAACGGGTCGCTTGGGGGCCAAGGAATCGAACTGCTCTCTGATCTGATTAGCGATCCTCTGTCGTTCATCGGCATCCAACACCTCATCGCTCCTGCTTGGCTTCGTCGCCGCCCACTGTGCCACCATTGTGCTGTTCGCTTCAATGTCTCTCTCCTCTACCGAACCTCCTGAAAAAAGCAATATATATATATATATATATATATATGGAGAGAGAAGAGAGAGGACTGGCACAGTGGAAAATAAAACAAGGGGCTGGAAAACCGCTAACCCGCGCCGGATGATTTTGGTTTCTTGGGTGCTTTTGGGAGTAAATGGGCTTCCATTTATGGGCCTATAAATAAGAGGCCCAATTAGGAATACAAAATTGGCGCATTCTGGTAATGCTGTTGTATCATGTGCATTGTTCTCTGGGTTGGTAATACAACGGGGTGCTAAGGCCCCAAAAAGCCTATAAGCACGTTTTGAAAAGTTTAGCCTGTTTATATGAGTTTTTATCCAATCCTTCTTAAGAGCTAAAAGCCAAATTTATAAGCCTGATTTGATAAGCTCCTCATATCCACTTATTACTTATGTATCGTGTTTACGAGTGGCTAGTAAGGGACTATTAAAACATAATTATTCTCAAAAAAAATTTTCTCACTCTTCTCTTTATTCTTCGCTTTGAAATCTCCATCGCATCTCCTCTCTAAGCCATATCTAGTGTTGGGTCTTTGTTCCGTCTCCTTGTCTTACTCCTTCGTCTACTCCTCTCCTCCTACCTTGTCTGATCTATCCTCACCCTCAGGCCAGTACTCCCAACCTGTCACCAACTGGGCCCATGTTTGGATTAACATTTTCAACAGAAAATGTGCATTGGAATGACGCAAACCCATGTTACTGGCAAATAAATGCTCAAAGAAATGTTTGGGTAAGCATTTTGGTAAATGAGCTTTTGGGTAAGAAGATAGTCTAACACTAAAGTGCCTGTTTGCCTCAGCATTTGGAGGGCAATAAGCTGCTTTTTTTCAAGCATAAGCCCGGTTGAAGAATTTGTGGTGTTTGGATGAGTGATTGAGTAATCTGGCTTTTGTATGAAAAGCTACAATAAGTTATAAGTAAAAATTAGCTACTTATGACTCATAGCTTTTAAAATATGGAGAGAGAAAAAGTTAATAAATTTATTACCTCCTCAGCCTCAAATAACTAATTTGTAGATGACGAAAAAGCAGCTAAAATTAGTTGAAAGTAACAAATAAGTTAGAAATATACTTTTGTTTTTAAACATGCTTATAGAAATATACTTTTATTTTCAAATATGCCCTTATAATAAATGATTAAAAAAATAAAAGAAAATATATGAGATTAACATAAGCTTATAAATAATTTAAAATTATTATATTATGTAAATTGATAATTTTTTATTTTTATTATTTAATAAAAGTCTTACTTATTTTAGTAATTTTACAAACTAAAACTACTTATTTAATCATAATCCAAACAACTTACTTTCACAAACTAACTTTTACAAAATCCAATCCAAACATAATTCACATCACCCAATTTAACTTTTACCCAATCTTACTTTTTTAAAAGTCAGATTGACAATAAACTACTTTTTCAATCACTAACCTAAACGGAGCCAAAGCTAATTTTTTCAGTTTTTGCCATCACAAACATGGAGAGAGAAAAGATGGTAATGAAAAAAGACAAAATTACTCTTAGCCAATCCAATAATTTGATCCTACATATTTTTAATATAAGAGTTAGATAACTAATTGGAAGATATTAATAAAATTAATTAATTTAGTTATTTGTAATAAATTGATACTGTCTTGCCTAAAATATTCTTGTTAATTATATACATTAAAACTACACATTAATAAAAACTTCTCAATATGTATATTCACTATAAGAATTACTTGGGAACAAAATAAATAAATATTGGAGACAAAATGGATTAAAATCATATATTTAGTACATTCAAATTTTCTCAATAATATATTAATATTTTTTATAATTTTAATTTTAATATATTTTTAAAAATTATCACATTATATATATAATTAGTTAACAAAATTTGAGTCCTTTTTAGTAATTTTACATATGAATTTACTTTTCTATATTTCATCCAAACAAGTTTAGTTTGTCAAACTGAATTTTCTACAATGTCAATCCAAACATAAATTATATTATACTAATTGATTATTATCTTAGCTCAATATTTGTTAAAGTTAGATGAAACAAAAGTCAATTTTGCTACCGCCAATTCAAACATAACGTGAGTTGCCACCATCACAGCCAAGATGAATGAGCGAGAGAAAGGAGATGAAGAACAAAAAGAGATTACAGACCTGTGGTCTTTAAAAAAAGCTGTGAATTAAAAATAATTAAATGAGAGGCAGTGGAATTATACACGTTGGTTGGCTAACAATAGCTAGTTATGTAGAGATATTTTTTTCCTTTCCTCTTTTTTTTTGCCCTTTTAGTATCTTACTTCTCCGGTATATAGGGAAATCTTTATTTGAATTAAAGCTAAATCTGAAAATTGTTTTCATGTTAAAAAATATATTCTGTAAATATTCTAATTTAAATATTTTTTTTATTATATTTAACTTCTTCCAAGTAAAATAATTTAAATATTACATTCTACAAATTGATATTTTTAATTTTATATCATGTAATAAAAGTCATACCTTTTTTAGTAATTTTACAAACTAAACTTACTTATTTAATCATAATCCAAACAACTTCTACTTTTACTCAATCTAACTTTTTCAAAAATCAATTTAAACATAAATCATATTATTCAATCTAACTTTTATCCAATTTAATTTTTTAAAAGTCAAATTAAAAATAAACTATTTTTGCCATCACTGATCTAAACAGGCACTATGACATTTAGCTTTTGAAAAGTAGAGAGAGAAAGTTAAAAAAGAGTTGAATTCCACTTTTAACTTACTACTCTATCTAATTCTTGTTATGAGTTTCAAATAATTAATTTAGGGATAACAAAAAAATTAGTTAAAATTAATTAAAAATAATAAATAGGTTATAAATATATTCCCCTGTCCATAATATAAATCTTTTTAATTAATTTGTCAATGTCAAAAAAAATAGATTCATTAAATATGTTTCAAATTGAATTTTTTTTCTTCAACTTCACCTATATTAAATGAAACTGTGAAGGAAAGAGAAAAATATAAAGAGTCACATTTAAGCATTGAGGGGACAAGATTCACAAATAAGCATTAATTACTCCTCAAGTGACTTAAATTTTGGACCAAGTTATTCTTTTAGAAGTGACTTACATTACATATAGGAGAAAGTACTTTTGATTTTAAATATGGCTTTATAACAAATGAGATAAAAGATAATAAGAAAATATATGAAGAAATATAACTAAAGAGAATAAAATAGTATATATTATATATAAAATTTATGTTTTTTTTTGTTATTTTATAGTTAAACTTACCTTTTCAATAATAATCCATATAACTCTATTTTCGTAAACTGACTTATTTATAAAAATCAATCCAAACATAAATTATATTAGGGAGAATTACAATGAGGTCCCAAACAAGGAAAATAATTGAAAAACAAGTCTAAGATATTGTCGTTCTCACTATAGAGCTTGTTATTATAGGCTGCTGAGATTGTTATTGGAACTTTTTAGTAATTATTTCTCTTCTGTGAGATTTTATTGTAAGTCTCTCATTATATTACTAATCTAACTTTTTTAAGAGTCAAATAAAAAATAAGTAAATCAAAATGGACCGTTGTGGGTTCTTTCCATGCCGTGCTTGGTTAGGACAAGTAACCAAAGACCATGTGTTTAGTTGGTTTATTTAAAAAACATTTCACGCTCAACAAGGGATTATTCTTTACTAACTCATGGATGGAGCCTATGATGTCCTAATTATAAGATTTAGTTTCTCTAAACACACGTATGAAGAAAGCATTAAGATTTATTTTATACGTAAAATTTTTCCCCTTTTTTAGTTTTGGCCTCAGTTAAATGACACTATCAGAAAGCGCATCAAAAGATGTTTTTATTAAATAAGATGTGCGATTTTAATCTTTTACACGGGATATCTTGTGAAAACGTTTTAATTATGTCTAGAACTTTGTAATAAGACTTGTAATTAAGGATTAAAAAAATACAAAAAATTAAAACTTGTAATGAGGCACGAAAGAAGCACTGACAATAAGTTGCCAACAATAAACACATCACAACTATTACTGTTAAATAAACGGGTTGAAAACTTTGCATGAACTGGATTTACATTTAGATCTGGAGATCTGGACGGTCTAGATTTATTTTTATTTTTTTAAAAAATAATTATTTTAATAGGTATAGGATAAAAAATAAAAATAATTTCTTAACTATTATTTTTTAAAATATAATTTTTCTATTTTAAAATAATTATTTAATAATATTAAATCTGGACCGTCCAGATCTAATTTGGACGGTCTAGATTGCTCATCAGGTGATGAGCACCGAATGAGAACCATGTATGAACTAGATCCGCTTGTTTTCGCGTTATCGTAACAAGGACATGATCTCATATGCGTCTTTTTTTTTTTAGGAGGAAAAAAAAAAAACCTCACATCCTATATGTGTCCTGGAACCCTATAAAAACAGGGTGCTCTTCTTCTCATTTTTCCTTCACATTTAGATTTAATATTTTATAATAATTATTAGTATAATTTTCCACATTTCTTCTATTTCTTAACATTATCAACTCTAAGTTTTTGCCGGGAGTTCAGCACGCGTCTATAGATTCTACGCAAGCATAAGATCTTCTTTAGTAACACACGAAAATTTTAGGAAAAATTGTAAAAAAAGACCTTGGAATTGCAAAAACGCAGATAGGGACCCTTAACAACTTCATTTTGGGTTTTGACAATAATAATATGTCATGAAGTTGTCAAAACCCAAAATAAAGTTGTCAAGGGTCCCTATCTGTGTTTTTGCAATTCCAAAGTCTTTTTTTGCAATTTCTCCAAAATTCTATTACTTAAATAATCTTTTTTTTTCATTTTTAGCATTCCAAAGAAGTAATTGATTAAGAAGAAGTAATTGATATTGATTAAATTAAATAGTTAACCCAAAAGTGCTTTTCAAAAATAATTTTTCATAAAACGAGACAAACTCTTTT